GAGTGGGGCGGGGTCCTTGATTCTATGAGAGCATTCTACTTGGCAGCCCACAGAGCACCTTGCCCGTGTGTCGCCCATTGGCCACTTACAGCCCCCACGGTGTCGTGAGGGATCTGGGGCTCAGAGAGGTTATTGACTTAAGCGAAGTCCCACAGCGCGAGTGGCAGGACCAGGATTTATGCCAGCCTGCCTGTCCCAAGCCCTTGGTTTTCCATCGTACTCAGTGGCTCTTCGTTGACGCCGAGTTGGGTTTGAGGGAGCCCCCTAGCTGGTCTGCACCCAGGTGCCCACTGCAGTGGAGGGACCCTGGCAGGCTGGTTCGGAGTGTTTGCCCCACAGCCCGCCCCGGGTGTGCCCCGGGGAGCTCAGTCAGAACGCTGTCCTCACAGTGGACCTCCCAAGGACAGTCTGAGTTAGCCTGAGAAGTCCCACCTTGTCTCGCTTTCCATCCTAAATCTGTCGTGCCCACAGCCTGTCCTGTCTGAGAAAACACAGACCCCCCCTTCAGCAGGGAGGATGGTTGCCCATGTCTTTCTGCATGGTCTCTCTAGCATCAAGCTGGGAGACGGAGCCCCCAAGGCACACACGCTTCCCCACGTCCATGGAGCCGGGTGGCCCCCGAGTCCCGGCTGAAGGCGCGTGAGCCCCGGGAGGCCGTCGGTCGAGTCGGCCGTCTCTGCTCCGTCTTGCCTGGTGGAATGGCCATCTGGTGCCTCACGCCACGGGAGCGGTATGGGCGGTGAACGTCCCTTCCTGCAGGTCGGGGGACGGCCAGGGCAGGTTTCCGTGAGAACGCGTGGAAGGCAAGACGGGGATCGTGGAGGCTGGCCGGAAACCGGCAGCCTCCCGGGCCCCGACTCCTTCGGCTCCGGGCAGCTCAGACGTCGTTCGGAAGCTCGGTTTGCAAACAGCTCGCATCACGTGCTGAGAGCTGATGTTTAAACAGAGAGGTGGTCCTAGACCAACGGCCGAGAGAGCTGGGTGACTCTGGGCTCCCTGACTGCATATGGTGTGCGGGACCATCTGCAGAGCGCTGTGTCTGTGGCCTCTCGCTCCCCACGGCGCGGGCCACGGGCCCACCAGCAGCCAGAACTGTTTCTTGCCTCCCACCAGCAGCCCCAACCAGCCCCCGGGCCCCGGGCACGAAGCACGCGTCTCAGGGGACCGTTCCCCAGTCGCGGGATCCCGAGGAAGCCCGCTACCACCTTTGTGCACTCCGGGGCGCCTGCGCAACCGAGCTCCCGTCCCGGAGGGGCGCGCTCGGGCTCGCCTTCGCCCTGTACAAACTGTGGGCTCGCACGCACGTGCCCTCTGAATTGCATGCCCTGAAATCCCCACGTGTGTGAAACCCACTTTGAACTTGAAAACACGCAGCATGCGCGGAGGGACAGGCCCGCCTTGGGCCATCTGCCGGCTGGCCGCAGAGCGTCCCCGCGACACGGTGCAGCCTGGGGCCCCGGCCTGTGGGGCCAGCGCCTGCGGTCGTCACGCAGCGTCCCCCAGCCCGGACGCCCCTCGTCCCTGCCCGCCCCCCCCCGGGCCACACGATTGCACACCACCTTGCACAAGGAAGGTAACGAATCGATCGCGACCACCTTAGAGTAGCTTCCATTCTCACCGAAGGTAAACCCAAAGCCCACCCTTGATTTTCTTTCCTCGCCGAGAAAGGCCGGATACGCCCCTGCGCCCTTCCGTGTCCGGCTGGGTGTGGCTTTGCCGCTCGATGGAATGCAGGGGTGGGTGGGCACGGGGACACGCTCTCTACCCACGGAGCTCGCTCGAGAATGGTTCTGCAGACACGGAACCAGGTGACGGGGTCAGAGTGACGGCAGCTCACGGTCACCAGGTAGCTTCTCTCGATAGATTTGTATAATCAATACGGGTCTATTTTTACGTCAACCCCACACTGTACCTTCCAGTCTTTTCCAAGATTGTTCGACTGAGACAAGTCACTGAATAATTGGTCCTATTTTTATTAACAAACCAGTGAACGGACTGAAATGTTAACGTGAATGTACATTTCTTAATTGCGACTTTTCTACTGAGTGTTTGCACTATACTTTCTGGAATCTTATTTAACAAAAATAAAGGAAAAAATTGCTTGACTAAAAACCCGGTGGCCGTTTTACTCGCGAACCGCGGGGTTTTGTGGCTTGTGGGAAGACGCGCCTCCCTGCAGGGGGACTGTGGTGTCCTCTAGTGTCGGCGGCCCGACCTCTGGGCCAGACTCGGCTCCTCCTCTGACCGCGGGGCGGGGGGGTGCGGGGGCTCGGCTTCTGCTCCCAACCGGAGACTCTGGGGAGGACGACGTGTACCTCCCGTGGTTCTCAGACTGCTCTCGGACTAACCGGTCAGGGACTGTTGTTGAAGGCAGACCAAGGGTGGACAGCAGGGGTGGGGGTGCGCCACCAGCAGGCTGAGCCAGGATGTTCCCTAAAACCGGGCTCTGCAGCCCAAGGTCAGGCCAAAGTCAGGGCCTAGCAGAGAAGAGGCTGTGAGGCATCAGACCAGAATGTTAGGGAGGGTTTGCCACCGGCCACCCTCCACCAGGACACACCTAATGCCACCGTCCAGGGAAGCCCCCTCCTACCCAAAGAGTGGGCAAGAGAAGAAGGGTTGGTGCAGGGACCCCGCAGCTGGTGGGGAGGCAAGGACTGGGCCAGACTCTGGGGATCATGAGAGCGTGGCCCGGGCTCGGCACATCCCGTAGAGCCTGAGACCCCGTCAGCGGGGGAGGGGGGTGGAGGGGCTGCTGGACTCTGCCCCCTCTGAGGACGCCCTGAATCCCAGGGCAATTTCCAGACCCCACTCACTCGGCATTTTCCCTTAGAGGTCTGGCAGACACATCAAAGGGAACGCACCATCCTGAGGGGTGTGAGTGGGTGAGAGAGGCTGTTCTTTGAAGGAGCAGGTCCCCCAGTCATGGCGCTGCTAAGTCCAGTCTGCAGGGCAGGCGGCAGCTGGAGACGCAGTGAGGAGCTGAGGTTGCATCTCAAGTCCGATGGCTGCCTGGAGGCAGAATCCCCTCCTCCCCTGGGAGGACCGCAGTCTTTTCCTCTTCAGGCCTTCAACTGATTGGACGAGGCCCACCCACATTATCGAGGGCGATCTGCTTTAATCACAGCCCACTGCTGTAAATGTTGATCTCACCTAAACCAGACCTTCACCCTGACATCTAGCCTGGCGTTTGACCAAACTGGGCACAGTGGCCCAGCCAAGCTGACACATAAAATGAATCGTCACAAATGTGTATCTTTAAGCTCAAACGAAATCAATCCAAAGTAAAGGAATTTAAAAAATCCTTATGAAAAGCACAATATCCCCAGAGAAACAGGACATTTACAGAATCCTCCGAGAAAGGGATACAACCAACCAGGAAGCAGGTGGACACTTGTCCAACTTGTCCAACAGAACCATCCATGAGGGAAACGCGCATGAGAACACAAGGGTACCGTGTCACCTTTCCAGCTGGTACGTGACTTAATTATGATTATTTTTTATTTTTTGGTACGTGTTTTAAAAGCTATCGTAAAACTAGCAAAGCTGCAGTGAGCGCTCACTCGGACACCGCTCACGGGCCCCGCACCTCGCTGGGTAATACCCAGCGGGGACCACACGATGGGAACACCGTTTAACCCACAAAAGGACTTGGAGGATTCTAACAACACTGGTAGACATTGGTACAAAATGCTTTGTTCCACGCCCCCATCCCCAATCCTGTGAGTGGGGTGTGGTAATACCCTGCTTGTGCCCTCGGCGAGGCTGCCTGGCATGCGGGACCCCACCCCAGCCCTCGAGCAGGGGATCCGGAGCACGGACGGTCTGTGTCCCACCGAGGCGGCCACGCACACATGGGTGGGCCTGGGGCCTGCGTGCAGCCCCGTGGGGCCAGCAAAGGAACGGGGCCCCCGGTCCGGCACCCCCCCACGGAGCCGGGTTCCCACTTTCCCGCTCAGATGCGCCGGGCGAGCACCTGCTTGGCGTCACCTGCAGGGAGCCCAGGTGGAGGTGCAGCTGAGCCACCAGAACGGAGGTGAACACGGGTTGTTTTGTCTTTGTTTCGCAGCAAAAAAAAACAATTTTAAAACACCAGGCGCTAAGACCTTACTGGAAAGTGATGCACAAACCAGACGCTGCAGCGAGGCCACTGAGCAGCCCCTCAAACCAGGTTTCTGACACGGTGAACGTCAAATACAGACACCCCGGATAAATAGCTTATGTTAGGAAGAAAACGTATAGTTTTGAAGATTAGATTAGAAGGGGATCACTTCTCATTTCACGCTGAACAGAAACTGCACGGGGAGAAGCATGCTACGGGGCTCACTGGCTGTGGCGCGGGCGCGTTCCTGAAGAGGACCCTGGTTCAGAGACCCCGAGGGGTCCCCGTCTATGCAGCCCGGACCAGCAGTGCCCGCGTCCCGAGCGCCGACCTGAGGCTGCCCTCCCGCCCGTGCACAGCTCGGGTCCCGAGGACACGGAGGTCACGGAGGTGGTGGGTGCGGCCAGGACGCCCTCCCGGGCACCACGTTCCGGCTTCGGGCACAGGACTCGCTCCTTCCTTGGGCTACTTGCCGGCCACATCTTCCCGTGGCTGGAACATGCTCACAATCCACGCTGTTTTATCTGTGAAACGCCCCCCAGGATTGCATTTCAAACACCAACTAGAGGGCCTGTGACCTACGCTTGCATACGCTCTTTTGCACAAATGCAAGAATCCGTTTTGCTAACACGTGGGGGAGAAAACGCAACATGAGCATCTAGGAAAGTAGCTTACGAACAAAACGCTTCCTTCTGAGCACCTGTAATTCCCAGGCTTTCAAGAACAACCTCCCCGAAGTGCCCCCATCATGCCTTCCTCCTCCCTGGCCTCATTCTGCATCTGAATTTGTCAAGGGCTGTGAGCAAGACAGAGAAGCCGCTTGATGACCCATCGGAATCACTTTGCATCAGACACAGATGCTCAGCAGAACCGTTCACTGACTTCCAGTATTGAAGGTGCGAAGGGTTTGCACTGAAGTATTTTTCCACGGTATGCAATTCTAGGCAGACTTTCTGCTTTATACTTTTGTGTTGTATTTGAAAAATTCATAAACTTATCATTTCCATAATCCGACAATAAATGTTATAACAAAGGGAGAAGTGAACACGTTGAAGAGTCAGCTTATGAAGGAAGAACCGGGTCAGGACACGCAGGACTGTGTAAGCCCACTGGACCGTAAATCCGCTCTTCCCACACGTACAGTCATTTGAAGTGACTCATCCAGTGACGGCAAACCACCCCCACCCCGGGAGGACTGTCCTCCTTCCTTGTTGGAAACCTCCCAACAAACACAGGGAGTGCCCTGCTTTAGGGCTGCCTCCTGATTCTGTCCAGCAGTGAGCTTGATCTGCAGCCCTGAGAGTGGGGCCACCATGGCCAGGCCTGGAGGGGCAGCCCTGGAGATGGCCCGGGGTAGGGTTGGAAACAAACGCTCTTTTCGTTTTCGGAAGGAAAAAAAACAGAGCACAGGGTGTAAACACCTCCAGCTTTTCCGTGGGACCCCAGCGAGACTGCACAGGGACGGGGCAGAGACGGCCCGAACCACGGCACAGGGTCGGATTCTTCACCCCACCCCCACCTTTCGGAACCAGCGCCTGCAAACCGCCCAAAGCGCCTCCCGCTCAGAGTCCCAGTGTCTGACTCTCCCGGAATGGCATCCTGAGCCCGCTGGGTGTGTGGCCCCAGCCCTGTGTGGGCGGCTGGGTCGCCACGCTCCCTGGTCTGTACGTGCAAAATGTCATCCTGTGCCCTGGGTCACACTGGGGAAGCCGCAGGGGTGGCGGGCACCCCCAGGGTGGCGCAGTGGGCATCCACCTCCCCCGTCGGCTCCCTCTGGGCCCTGCAGTCTGGTGGTACCTCGGAGAGCCTCGTTAGCTCGCCCCCACCCGACTCGAGAGGCGCAGCGCGGGGAGGGCAGCGGTTCAAGCAGGACCTGGGCAAGCCCTGAGGAGGGCTGGGGTTTGCAGACAGACAGAGGGCCGGGTGAGTCCGGCCGAGGTGCGAGCTCCAGAGCATCGCACCCCCCGGCCCCGGCCCCGAGGGTCAATCGTCCTGGATGGTGAGCTCATGCTGAGTGGCCTCCTCGATGTCCTGAAGCTGGCGGATTTCCCACTGCCTCACGCGCTCCATCTGTTGGAGGAAAGGTGTCTCTGAGAAGGCCTGCGTTGCAGGAGCACCTGCCACAGCTGCCCGTGGACAGCAGAGGCCCACGCGGGCTGCACGCCCCTCCCCACCCGGCCCCGCCCTCGGCTCTTGGGCACCCCTGCTTCCATGTGCCGGTCATCACAACCACACCAGGGAGCGGCAACCGCCCAGAGGGCCGAGTCTGGGTGGGCACCGGAGGGGTGGCTGAGGACCCAGGGGAGTGGGGCAGAGGGGGCCGGAGGGCTGGGCACAGGGACAGGGAGGGCCAGCCGGGGGCGTGCCGGGGACGTCCCCGCGGGGCGGAGTAGACAGGCGGTCTTGCGGGGCTGCAGCAGGGAGAAGGGCCCAGGCCAGGGTGGGGAACACGGGCAGGATGAGCTCTGCTCCTGACCGAGATGCGGGCTTGGCCTCATAGAAGCCACGGCGGGGGGGCAGGGTGGCGGAGCCAGACGGCACAGGGGCGTGTGCAGGGGCCGGATCGAGGACAGGGTTGGCGGTGGAAGGAAAGACTGGGTCCTCGGCCCCCCATGGCGGGTCCCCCACAGATCATGGTCCTCCAAATAGCCTGGAAGTGTAAAAAAATGAAGCAATCCCTGGGTGGGGGCAAATGAGGACCAGGAGAAGCTGGTGTTGTCAGCAAGGGTGTGGGCAGATGGCAGAACGAGTGGGGACAGCAGAGCCAGGGGACGGGCCATCAGCAAGCACATGAACCCCCCGCAGAGCCCAGAGCAGTCAGAGGGGCTGGAAGCTGGGCGCCTGCGTGAGGGGCCCCACGGGCCCAGGGCCTGCCCCACCTCTGGGACAATCTCTGCCACACAGTGAGACCCCCAGGCCCCTTCCCTTTGTCAGCTCCAGAATATTCCAGCCCCGCTCACACCTCTCCTGGCAGCAGGTGGGAACATCATCAGCCCGTGGGGACAGGGCACTAGGGAGGCAGCCCTGCACTCGGGCCCCTTCCAGGAACGCAGGCGGAGCTCTGGTCAGCTCTGCAAGGCCGGGTTCCCAACTACGACCAGACACAGCCACAGAGGGCGGGGTGGGGGGGCCATCAGGAAAGCATCCCACCAGCAACGCCCCAGAAGGGCGAGTGGGGCCAAGCAGAGAGGACTGGAAGGCCAGTGAAAGGAATCAGTGGGAGAATCGAGGCATCCTGCAGCGACCTTGGAAAATGGAACCCAGCACCCCTCCGAGGGGCGGACAAGGGGTGAGAGAAGAAAGAAGAGACGGAAAGAAGCCATCTAGGCTGCCCCACACCTGACTTCCACGGGGTCCCAGCAGGTGGAGTGGAGCCACGGGCCTCAGAGGCCACAGAGGGAGGGGTGAAGGTTTCCCAGAGGGACCCAACAGACCGACGGGCGCCCAGCCCACGAGCCAGGCCATGCACTGCACACGTCCCACCTCTGGGCAGCAGACCTGGACAGCCAGGGTCAGCTCTGGCCCCACGTGAGGGGCAAGGTGGAAGTCCCCCGACCGTGCCCTTCTCAGAACCTTCTAGAACAGCAGGGTGTCACAGGAGAGGTGAACCAGCTGAGGGGCCAGGACGCAGTGCTCCGAGCAGGAAAGGGGCCCTAGGGACGGGGTCAGGGATGGGGTCGGGGACAGGGTTGGGTCGGGGACACAGTCAGAGACAGGGTCAGGTTGGGGATAGTCGTACCACAGTGGCCAGCTTCTTCAGGTCCCGCTTCCTCCTCCTGGCTGTGTTGGGGATCCCGGGCAACCCCACGGATCGAGGCCTGCTCCTTGCTCCGCGGGACTCCACTCGCTGCTGCTGCCGCGTGACCGAGGCCGCTGTGGGCGGCTCTTCCCTGGGAGCCCGGGGGTCTGGGTTGGGCCCTGGCTGCCCACTGGCCACCCTGGAGGCCCAGATGCTAGAAAGCTGCGGGGTCTGGAGGGCGGCCGTGGAGCTGAGCCCTGCCTGGGGGGCCGGGGTGTTCCAGGAGAGGTGTGCAGGCAGCGGGGATCCAGGCTCAGGGCCCTCTGCTGGGTGGGAGGGGACAGGGCCTGCTGGCCTCCTGCGCAGGCTGGGGGAGGCTCCCAGAGGGGTGCTGTGCTTCAGGACCCTTCTCAAGGGCAGCTGACTCCTCAGTGAAGAGGGGCCCTCGTCTTCCTCAGAGGAGCTCACCCTGGAAAACTGCCGAGACAGGGCACAGATGTCGGCTCCCTAGAAGGTCCCGGCAGGAGCCTCAGGACGGGCACCAGAGCCCACCGGGCATGTCCTCCTCCCCCCCGGCCTCTGCCCTGGGCACAGAGCCTCCAGTCCCACCCCGGGTGGGAGCGTGCGGCCCAGAGTGCGCTCCCGCTGTACCTGCCTTTCCACCCAAGTCGCCTGTTCTATTTTTTGGTCAAAAGCAAGCATTGGTCCAAAATGCGGTCTTAATAATGGAATTGAAAAAGAAGGGGGGGCGCCTGGGTGGCTCAGTCGTTAAGCGTCTGCGTTTGGCTCAGGTCATGATCCCGGGGTCCTGGGATCGAGCCCCACATCGGGCTCCCTGCTCAGCGGGAAGCCTGCTTCTCCCTCTCCCACTCCCCCTGCTTGTGTTCCTGCTCTTCGCTGTCTCTCTGTCAAATAAATAAATAAAATCTTTTTTTTATTCTTATGTTAATAAATAAAATCTTTAAAAAAAAGAAGAAAAAGAAAAAGAAGGGGTTTTCAGGTAAAAAGACTTTTTTCTTTTTTTCAGGAGAAAACTGTAAAACATTATCAATGAAATCATCTTAACATTTACGCTCAACATAAAAGAGCAGAACGGTGGGCGGACGCAGCTGCTCTCTGTATGATGGGACGGCAAATCAGGCAGGGGTGTGGACACCCAGCGTCCTGATCCCAAGCCCCCCGCCCCCAGCTTCCGAGCCCCCGGCCGGCAGCAGAAGCTCCTTCAGAGTGTTTTTCCATTGAGAACAAAGCCTCTGGGAAAACCCTCAAACTCCTGTGCTCACGGCCTTTCCCTGATGCTGACAAACTGTCTTCGGCAAACAGTTTTATTGTCATCCTAAGGTCATGGTCTCCACAGCGCTTCTTGACAGGTTGTCATGTCAAAAGGACGTGACAGACTGAGCAGCTTGGTTTTTGAAAGAAGCCCTTGTGTGTCTTTTAAAGAGGTATTAATTCACACTGCGGTGCATCTGAGCCAATCCCCTACCAGTCTAGGTAACTTTCAGAGGAATGCTGATTTTATGTTGAATGCCACGGATGGAATGGGGGAAAGTATTCGCAAAGTACAAATCCAATAAGGGGATACTATCCGAAGTACTCAAGGAATTCATACAGCTCAATAGCAAAAAGCCAAATAATCCAATTAAAACATGGGCAGAGGACGTGAACAGACATATCTCTAAAGAGGACATCCAGGTGGCTGATAGACACATGAAAAGATGCTCCACATCACTCAGCACCAGGGAAATGCAAATCAAAACGACGATGATCTATCACCTCACACCTGTCGGAATGGCCAAAATCAACAACACAAGAAACAGCAGGTGTCGGCGAGGATGCGGAGAAAGGGGACCCACTGTGCACTGTTGGTGGGAATGCAGGCTGGTGCAGCCACTCTGGACAACAGTATGGAGGGTCCTCAAAAAAATGAAAAATTGGAATATCACGTGCCCCAGGAATTCCACGTCTGGGCATTCGGCCACGGGGAAGGAAACCATCATCCTGAAAAGGTACCAACTGACCCTGCCATGTTCACTGCAGCCGTGTTCACGCTTTGCTAAATCCCACTCTCTGGGTCCGATCTCATGCACCTGTTCGCTAGTGGGAAGAACAGTTTCTGGTGATGATATCCACTGTGGGCCCTGCTTCCCAAAAGTATCAATCAAGAAAGCCACTGTCATGCATGGTGCGGGAGGGACTGGAACTTTTCTCCAACAACAAGTGGATAGAAGTGTGACGATGGGGTGATTGGGACATGCCCGGAAGCCCACAGTCTTGGTGGCGGCCCACCAACTGGCTTCCGCTCGGAGGGGAGAACAGAGCCAGCAGTCAGTGCAAGATACTACTGCGGGGTTGTCCTTGAATTCCTGCTGTGCATTTGCACCTGAAGGGATGTATCCGGTAGTGAGTTTTTGGGGAGGCAGAGCTGAGAAGCATAGTCATGATAGTGAACTAAACTTTTCCTAGAACAGAGGACAGATGCTTATGTTGCCTTAAACGTGAGCCTGATCAGAAATGCTCCAAGGCCGTGGGAAAGCGTCTTAGCCATCGTTTGCTGCGTGACAAATCACGCCAGCACTGAGGAGCGTAAGACAGACATGGGTGGTCGTGGTTTCCGTGGGTGGGGGGCTTGGGCTCTCCCATGGGGCTGCTGCCCTCCTGTGCTGCTTAAAATCAAAGCATAGAGGGACCAGTAAAACTAGAAAGTCTAACGTCAGCCTTCCTGCCATCCGGCTCCCCTAAGTAGCTACCGTTAGCAATTTGTAAGAAAACAAAAAGCACGGAATGCGTGTCCTGTATACAAAAGAAGTTCACGTTTCATAAATGGAATCCTGATGTGCATGGCTGTGTGGCTTTTCACCTCACCGGTGACGGGCCACGTCCCTGACTCTCTGAACAAAGCACGTCAAGTCGCTTATTTGAGCGTGGCAGTGTTGGGTGTCTAAATTCCCCAGAGGGGTTTTGAGGTGGGCCAGGGCAGAAGAGGTCCGTAAATACGGTCTGGCGGGAAGGGGTTGTTGCTCGCGGAAACGCGTTCAGTGGAGCGTGCTGGAGCATTCCGAATCGGATCCCAGTGAGCTTTTAGAGCATTCTTCCGAGGTGAGTATATCATGACCAGGCAGCTGGGGGAAGTGCCAGCCCAGCTGAAACTGAAAACAGGTCGGACGGTGCCGAACGTCCACAGGAGGGTCTCCCAGTCCCTGGGCCAGAAAGCCAGTCGGGAGTGCCCTCCTGGGGGGTGGTCAGTTCCCGAGCTGCTACCCTGTAGGTCTCAGGGTGCTCTTGCTACATTGTTTCCCGTCGCAAAACCCGTAGAGATTGATGAATGTGAACTCTAACCACTCTGAAGAGCTGGATTCGCTCCAGAGAATGAGTCAGCATCAGTAAGTGCCCAAGTGTTTCCCAGAGTGGCTGCACGGTCCTCCAGCCTCGCGGGCCCGCACGGGGAGCCCAAGTCGCTCCGCATCCTCACCGGCATTCGAGGTCGGCAGCTCCTAAGGTGTTCTACTGTTTGCTTTCTAACAGGTGAGCAGTGGTACCTCACCGCAGGGTGGTTTTAATGTGCATTTCTTCCACGACCGGTGATGGTGAGCATCTTACCCTTTATTTACCACCTACTTACCGCGTATACATCTTCTTTGCTGGTTAGAGGTTGAACACCTGAGCCCTGTCGACAAAGGCAAACAGAATCAGCTCGCTTATTAACAAGACTGGCACTGGGTCAGAAAGCGCATCGGCTCCACACCGTCCATAGGAGGCTGCGCCAGAGACAAAGGGCTTCGGAAAGATCCATGGCATTATGGCAGCAAAGACAACCCACGGGGGGGACGTGTGAACACGGGAGCACCTCTGCTGTTAAGAGGCCAAATTCATGGAAAAATGCATTAGATGAGTTGAAAAACAAAAGCACAGGGTGATTAAAAAGTCTAAATGTTTTCCTGCTTTAAGCACCTTTGCTCCAGATGCTGTAGCATCAACACAGAGCAAAATCCATAGAGAAATATGGAGAAACAGAAATAAACTAGTAATTGAGGCTACTTCACGGTGTGGGTTTTTTTTTTTCTTTCTAAGCCTATGGTAGATCAAAGAGAAAAAGAAGAGAAATGATCCAAATCCCATGGAAGGTCATCAGCGCTTGTAAAGGGAGACAAAGTCATTCTACTTCCAAGAGGGACCAGGCTCAGTGCAGAGGAGGGGTACACACCAGGCGGGGCTTCTACCAGAAAGGCATTGAGAGCGAACAGGAGCATATTTTCTGATTAGCAGGAGCTACCCTGAACTAACTTACGCATGGAAGTGAACTGAGAACCAATACACAATTAAATGCTGATATGCTTTTCCATAAGAACAATTTGAGAGCCGCCCGGGTGGCTCATCGGGTTAAGTGTCTGCCTTCGGCTCAGGTCATGATCCCAGTGTCCTGGGATCGAGCCCCACATCGGGCTCCCTGCTTAGCGGGGAGTCTGCTTCTCCCTCTCCTCCTGCTTGTCACTCCCCCTGCTTGTGCTCATTCTTTCTCTGTCAAATGAATAAAATAAAATCTTTTAAAAAAAAGAACAATTCGATACATTTTTGATAGAACAATACTGTAGCACTAACAGCTTACAGAAAGAATAGTGTGGGTTTTCAGATGCGTACTCAGCACAAACAATAGAGACATACATCTGGGAATATTATACAGGAAGAGATGGGTTTTAAATGAGCAGGGAAGGGAGTTTTTTTTTTTTTCTTTGAGTGTTGTTGTTCCAATGGGTCAGCCATTTAGAAAAAAAAAAGTAGCAAAGCCAAGTCCCTACCTCATACCCTACATGAAAATAAATTACAAGGGACTGAATAGTATACTCTTTAAAAATTCAGATTGCGAAAAAGAAACAGGATAATTTTGGGCGCCTGGGTGGCTCAGTCGTTAAGCGTCTGCCTTCAGCTCAGGTCATGATCCCAG